ATTTTAAAAATATTGCAGAAGGTGACTTTTTGTATTTGGACCTTTTGTTTTTTCATCTTTGTTTGCATGCTAAGTTAATTATTTCCTGTTTTACTTTGAAACTGTCTGATTTTCCCGCTCCTGTGATTGCCTGCATCTGCCCTATTGTGTCACACCTGAGTTTAGTTATCCCTAGTCTCCCCACTCTCCTCTGTCACTTTGTCTGTTCACACCTATGGATTTTCCCTGTCTTCTTTAAACATTGCCCTTTGTCCTTGTGCCCCATGACTAATTTTTCGCTGGATTTCCATGTGCCTCAGTCCTTGTCTGTTCTGTTTTGGACACCAGTGTTCAAGTGATCAGTCATTCAAATATACAGTTAGTGCTATTGTAATAAATAGTTTTTAAAAATTCAATGGAGTTTTTTGGAAAAAGGTATGTTTTTGAGACATTTTTGAGCATGTAAAAATGTGTGAATGGAAGCATGTCCTGCTCAATGAGCTTTTTCAGTGATAACACTTAATCTAGTCTGTCTTTTTCCTAACTTGCATATATCCTAAAATTCATAAAGTTTGAATGTTGTGCTCTTCAATAATTCAGAACATGCGATATAGTTTTTGTCAAAGAGAAACAGCTGCTCCCAATGCAAAAAACATTCAACCAAAGGAACCATGATGGCTTATGAGCCGCTACATCCCTAGTTCTTGTCTAGATCTATTTTATTTCCTCTGTCAAGGAGGTTGTTTTCACCCCTGTCCATTTGTTGGTTTGTTATGAGCAAAATTATGCAACAACCTTTGGATGGATTACCATAAAACTTGGATGCTGTATAATTCAAGGAAGAACTCATGAAATTTTGATTGAGATTTAGTTGCACGATTGGTCATTTTTCAAACTTTTTGTTGATTTCTCAGAGAAAAATTCATGTATCTTGATGACAAAAAATCAGTCATGTTTCGGGGACAGATATTATGAGAATTGAAAAAGACTTTTGTTTATTTGGAATTTACTATATGAATGTAGCTGTGATTTCCAGAAAAGACTTCTTGGTTTATTAAATAAAAGCAACATTCAACACTGACATCACACTTAACAATAATGATAAGTAATTTGTTAGATGTGTCAACATTTACCAACAGATATTTTTTCTTTATCTCTATTGCTGCTTTCAGACGTGCGCTGAACTCCAGAGAAGCTCCACACTTTCTCTGGAGGAGGTGCATGTGTGATGTAAAAATGTATGAATGAGAGCCTCCGGATTATCTACAGAGTTTCTCCACCTGGTCCCCTACTATAAAGTCTGCATTAGTCCATAGAATCTGTAGAACCTCCCACTGCATTGTGCATGTGTGAAAGGCCAACTGCGGATAAAGTCCGGAGAATTGGGTCCGGACTTTATCTGCAGTTTTCATTTCACACATTCATTTCAACAGCTTATGTTTATCCCTTTTATTGAGGAATCGTTCTGAACCTTTAGCAACAGATTATTAAATGACTGTTCTCCCTGGCTCAGGGAGCACCTCAAGCTGAAAGCTGCTGGCTGATTACTTCCCTGGTTATAAAGTCAGTAGAGAGCTGTCGAAACACATAAAGAAGAGACTGACACACATGGAGAGGAGAGACTAAGCCAGAGAGCTGAACTGAGCTGCTCCCAGAAAATGTATGTGCTGGACCAATTATGTTTGTTGTAGCATTTACGTCAATAAAATATGTTGAACAGTGAGTGGTTGGTCTCTGGCTGTCGTTGGGAAACCCCTCTGGCAACGTCCCTTGCCACAATGACTAATGCATTTCTGACGTGTGTAATCAAACCAGGGGGCACACTAACTCACCATTTGACGTTGGCTCCTTCCTCGGACACTTCCACCTCAAACTCCACTTTCTCACCCACCACAGTAAGGACATCATCCAGAGGCTTTGTGATGGTAATTGGAGGTTCTGTGCAGAAACAGAAATCCTTTAGTCACACCCTCAAAACAGCAGCGAGGTGTTGAGTAAGTTGTACTACACTGTATTGTCAAATTCACCCACTGTACATTGTACCTAAATCAGCAGAGTTATGATGCCTAAGAACATGAGTGGAGGACAAAATAAAAGTCTGGTGCACATGGGATAAACAGAGCTGGAAGGCATCAGCACTTGTGCAGAGTGAGTAATGCATTTATACACGGCCCGGCAAAACAACCAGTCCTTTAAATACTGAGCCTGGGGCTAAGTCCTGGCACATTCAAAGTTTTGATTTCCACTAAACTGTAGGCTGACTAGAGTCAAACACAGTAAACTTACTAAGATGAATTTGCTAGTGGTGGTGGATACATCGTTTCTGTCCAGCAACAATTTGAAAAAACACTGTTAAACACTATGAAAGTAATACAATTGGGGGTTTTTTGTATCTGACATTTTTTTCTAACAATGAAATGGTTTCTTTAACATCTACGTTGATCATAATCACCCAGAATTAGTCAGAGCATCAATTTGTTCATTTCATTGGCAAAATACTCATTTTAATTGTGTGGTATTGATTTCAAGAATATCGTCCAGCCCGAGTAGCTCCAGCTTTAATCTAGTTTGATAGTTTTCCCATACGAGCACTGTTTGCTTTGTTCAAGCACAAACTCCTGGTATGCTCTCACCCCCATGGGTGGTGGATGGCATGTATATTAGTGTTCTCAATAAGCAGAAAACACACATAACATGTGCCCACAGTCTTCTGAGGTTGAATAGCTGCATAATACGCCCCTGAAGTCCTTATCAATGCCACCTAACACACCTGTCTCGTAGAGGTGGAAGGTATTTCGAGTCTCCTGGGGTGGTGCGAGTCACATTGTGTAACCACATGGCGTGATGCCTGATGCTCCGCTAGCTTCAGCTATTTGTCATCGTCACCATCCAGTCCCCCTCCGGATGTTTCAATTCTCTCCAACCTCAGCTGGAGCGCCCTGAAGCTCTCTGAGCCACAGTCACAGCACCGCAGACACATGCACAAATTGACAGCGGGTCTCACAAAAGTTTCGTAAAATGACTTCTACAGTGTAATTCGGGGCTTTTCTGCATTACAAAAAACTATGAGGAATTCATTCCCCTTAGGAATACGTGAAGGAGACACAACTGAAAAAGAAAACAGTGGAAAGAAAACAGTGGTTACATGGAATGAAAGTTTACTTTCAGCTCTGATGTGACCTAAATACCTGAATTGTCTTCTATGAATGACATCATTGTTTTAGGCATGGTTCCCTGTTTAAATTCCAGTTTGGAAGTGGTCTGTGTTTGCATGTTCTCCTTTATCCCCAAGGGTTTTCTCTGGGTGGCTCCAGCTTCCTTCCAGAGCCCAAAGACATTAGGTTAAATGGAGATTCTAAATTAACCGTGGATGTGAATGTAAGTGTGAATGGTTGTTTGTCTCAGCATGTTGGCCCTGCAATACACTGGCGATGTGTCAAGGGTGTACCCTGCTCTCCTTCAATGTCAACTGGGATTGGCACTAGCTCCCTCTGTGACCCTCAAAGGATAAGCGGTAAAGATAATGGATGGAGGGATGGACTGATGGATGGATCACAATTTCAAAACAAAACATTCTTTCCTACAACTAACTGCTTTATATTCATGTTGTTAGTTAAAAATGTATATATTTTGAAGAAATCTGCTTATTTGCCGTATTCGAGGCATGATTGCTTTGCACAAAAACTGAAAATGAGATAAAAGCTAGTCCTGCTAATCCAAATGTGGAAAGGGTGCCAGCAATCACTTAGTTTTTTTTGTTGTGACTTCCTGAAGTCTAGTAAGTACAAAAAGATGCAAAACAACTATTTACTCAAGAAAGTCAATGCATATGAAGCAGAACTAGTCCTGCACGTCTGAAAAAACAAAACATCTTGATCATATACCTGAGCTTTTTGACAGATGAGATATATGGTAATCAATGCATCGGAGATTCTTATCAACAGATTTTTTTTGACAAGGTAGCTGTTTTGCATTTGGTCTTCAAACTATGTTGTCTCTTTGAATTTACCATTGACATTGAGATTGGCTCTTAACAAGAAATGGAATTTGTACTTATTAAGGGGTTACTGTCAATAAAGGCTAACTTTTGGAAAAAATCATGCAAAATATTTAGATAAAGACTAGTTAATGCAGAAACATATTACACGACTCATTCCACAAATCTTTGTGAGTATTTGATGACATGTGGTGAAAAACTACAAGAATCACTTCACAACACAACAGAGCAAAAGCCCTAGCTCCATGTCCAAGTATTCATGTCTAAGTGCAGTGACTGCTAGTTTTGTCAAGCTGTCATAAGCTGAACCCTCCAATGCCCTCGGTAATGTCAAGATGAATCAGCAGTAAAAGGTACTGATGCAGATGTTTGCAAACAGCAATGTGAATGATATCTATACAGACACAAACACAGATAGAGGCCGTAGCTGCACTGGAGCAGTGCCTGTGGTGAAGAGCTTACCCTCTGATCGCATAAAAGCAGGATGGGCAGCCGTGAGCACACAGAGTAAAGCATGGGATTAATATAGCAGCAGTAGACCCAATTACATCTATTAAAACCCACATACAAAAAAAGACACCAGCGAGAGACAAAAACATCACTAACAATATGATATGTTACAGAGTTAGTTTGTTAACATACTGAAGGCCCTGTTGACCTTAATTTGTCATACATTATATGATTTAAATTGTCTAATAAAATAATTTGGCAAAAAGTAATAGTACAGTGTTCCATGTTTTTGTATACACTGCTCAAAGGAATTAAGGGAACACTTAAATCACAGATTAGGTCTTTCTGGCTATGTGAGGCAGGGCGTTGTCCTGCATCAGGCAGAACCCAAGGCCCACCGCACCAGCATAAGGTCTGACAGTTGCTCTGAAGATTTCATCCTGGTACCTAACAGCAGTCAAGGGACTGTTGGCTATGACATGGAGGTCTGTGTGACCCTCCAGCGATATTCCTCCCCAGACCATCACTGACTGGTCATACTGGCAGCATAATGTTTACCACGATGCACCAGACTCACGCTTGTCACATGTGCTCAGTGTGAACTGACTCTCATCTGTGAGGAGAACAGGGCGCCAGTGGCGGACCTGCCAATTCTGGTGTTCTCTGGCCAATCCCAATCTAGCTGCATGGTGCTGGGCTGTAAGCACAGGCCCCACTAGAGGTTGTCGGGCCCTTATGTCACCCTCATGGAGTCTGTTTCTGACAGTTTGGTCAGAAACATGCACACCTGTAACCTGCTGGAGGTCATTTTGAAGGGCTGTGGCAGTGCGCTTCCTGTTCCTCCTCTCACAAAGGAGCAGATACCGGTCTTGTTGCTGGGTTGATGCCCTTCTACAGCCCTGTCCAGCTCTCCTTGTGTAACGGCCGGTCTGCTATCTCCTCCATGCTCTTGAGACTGTGCTGGAAGACACAGCAAACCGTCTTGCAACTGTACGTATGGATGTTCACTCCCTGAGGAGCTGGACTATTAAAACTAAACTAGAGAAGAATCAGTCAGGAAGGATAAGGAGAGCATAATGGTCTGTTGCCACCACATGTAAAACCATTCTCTTTCTGGGGGTTGTCTTGTTTTTTTCTCTCCATTGCATCTGTTGTCACTCTAATTTGCACTGAAGCAGTTGAAACTGATTCAAACACTAGTGCTTCCTAAATGGAAAGATTGATATCCCTGAAGTTTTACTGAATTGGTGATATACTGTGACGATTAAGTGTACCCCTAATTTATTTTATATATAAAATAATCAAATCAAATAAATCAAATATGACCACAAATATTAATATTTCAAATGAGCAATATTAAAAATGGCCTTTCAAAACACACACTTCAGTCAAACTCTTATAAATGAGACAGCATATTAATAGATACAGCACAATGACAGTGATACATGACAATAATCAAAACGTGAAAATTTCACACGCCACGTATCCATTAAAAATGAGTGAGCAGACAACAGAGCGCCGCATGCTACTGTGTGGCATGAAAGCATTGAAATAAATAGATGACAAACACACACACAAGAAGGGAACAGAGCTGTCAAGCCTCTCAGCGCTCAAATGACAGCTTTTGCTAAACCGAGCAGAAAAAACCTTTCCCTCCTGAAAGGAGGATTCCTCCAAAGACAGTGACTCATATACCTTTGACAAAAACCTCCGTGAAGCACTTCTCCTCTCCAACCACGCACTCATACATCGCGTCATCCGAAAGGTTGCACTTGTTGATAGTGAGTGTCCGCTTGTTGCCCACGCTCTCAAACACATACCTGGACGCACAGGGATGATGGGGGAAGATTATACAAAGATGATAAAGACCAAATGAGGAGAGAGAGACAAAGAGAGAGAGGGAGGGAGAGACAGACAGAGAGAGAGAGTGAATAACTGCTTTCAGTAAATCCGAGTCACAATCAGACACAAAGGGCCTGTAGACAACAGAGTGACTCATAGTTTTAGACCAAGACAAAGAATCCACACATTCACACAGAGCTTCAGAGCTCACAAGCACTGTATGTGGTGGTGGTTGTGCTTCTGAACACACATAGTGACAAATATCAAAAGACTACAGTAGTGCCTCACCCTCATCACGCAGGTAGTGATGGGAACGATTTCCATGGTTACGCTCTTTACAAGCTCTTACATCATCAGAGAACTCAGGTGAAAACTGTCATTGAGAGAGTAATCTTAAAACTGTATGAAACTTAATGTTAACTGCTTTAAGGCTGAGCTACAGTTGAGTTGTTTTTTAAAAGAAAGATATGTTTTCACCCTTGTCTGTTTGCTGGTTTATTTGTCGGCAGGATTATGCAAATTGACTAAACTAATTTAAGCGTGTGTGCAATTTGGTGCGGATTGAGATTGTTCGGCCTTAGTAGAGGTATGCATTGAAGTGCCACTCTAGTTTAGTCTCTGTAAAGGACTGATGTGAGTTAGAGCATCCACATTTGTGCATACATGTGCTCTTTACTAAACAGACATTTACAAATTAAACTAATTTAGCACCTACTTTATCCACAATGCAGCTAAATTCAACTACTAAATAGAAATGAAGATATTGTGACATTCCTCAAAAAATACATGTGTCTAAGGTGAGTGTCAGTATTAATTGTAAAACAAATTTAGTATTTTTGATGCTTAGTTATATTATATGGAACAAGATTTTATGGACCATATTCATACGTAGTTTATCATCCTAAACAAACACATATCCCACAAACCACGATTGTATCATTCTGTCTCTATGCTCATTTTGGGGACTTGAAATCATAATATCAGTGTCTCTGTCTGTAACCTAGAACATTTGATTTGTTAGAGTTGGATGGTCACAGTGCAAAGCCTGGAAGCACCTCCTGTGAGGCTCCATTCAGAGCAAGAAAAGACCCCTCTCCCATAGTAACTGTCTTAATCAAAACAGGAAGAGGCCTGCCTCACTTTCAATGAACAGCATGAAGCTCCTCAGAATGGCAGATGGCGGAGTCATTGAAAAAAATGCCAGTTGCAACAGCTGTACTTTCTTCAATAAAACACCAATAGAAGCCTTTGAAGGAGGAGGGGAAAAGAGCAAAGAGGTGGATGACACAGACTGAGAGCTCAGCAAGCTAAAGACACTCTAACATTTATATATACTGTTAGTCATATACCAAAGTCAGAGCTTTTAATAAACCATTTACACAGCACTGTTCAGTCTCTGTAAAGTGGCATGGCATATTGATGCAGACTTTTTTTTGAACAGTAGTACTAGTTGTATTTTTTGGAATAACAGTTTAATCATCCATGTCAAGCATGGTTAGCCATTAGCCTCTGATTTAGTGTTCTCATTTAGCAATTACATTGTAAAATAATGTGATGCACCAGTTTTACAAAAGTAAAGGTTAGTTAGGGACAGTTGTTTTTGCTCTGTTTCGATATGAATGTTTTTGAATGGAACACCCTTTACCATAAGCCTGAGACTTTTTCAGATCACAGCTTGACAGAAAAGTGAATGGGTCAGGGTTACTTCACACATGTCTGAGGAACAGACCAGACTAATTGATCATAGTTTTAAAACGGTGACTATAAAGTTGGAGGGGAGGCACTTTAGAGAAGAGCGATGGTTAGTTTTGTAGATGGATGAGCTATAGGTAGGTCATGGGAGCTGTAGTTTTTATTTCTGTGCTCACAACATCATTGTTCAATCATTTCCATTGTGTGTATGATTATTTATCTTCAAATATGGAAAAGTAAAGGAACAATCTTTTTTATAAAACTTGTGCAACGCTTGATTTTGACAGTTGGCTGTCAGTCTGCAAACATGCACCCAATCACGGAGGCTGCTTGTTAAACAGAACATGCCTACCTACCCAACACATTTCACACACACACAAATACATGTACACCTCCCAAACAGTAGTAATTGGCTCACTTGGCTGATGGCTTGATTTCCTGTCCATTTTTCAGCCACTTGACTGAAGCGTTGGGGTCAGCCACCTCCACAGAGAGCTGGATCCTCTTGCCCTTGTCCACTGAGTAGGCTGAATCCAGCTTCCTGAGGAAAGCTGACAGTAAAGTATCCAGTTAGTGTAGTTCAACCACTGCTTTTATAGCCAAATAATCCATAAGTGCCAACCCAGCAGCGAGCATATGCAAGAACACATTCTACCTGTCGTCCCAGCTATATAACTTGTCCCCCGAGGCCTTTAAACACTGAGAGCTTCCCTTTCATGTCTGCCGCCTCACTCCTAGTGCACAGTCTGCTTTTGCCTCATAACCCCTCTCTTGTCTCTTCCCTCGCTCCTCACCGTCACTCTTCTTGGGCTCCACCTTCTTCATTTTCTTCAGCCTTGTCAGCATGCCCCTCAGGTCTGTGATGCCATACTGAAAGGCAATCTTCTCGTAGTCACAGGGCTTGGCGGCCTTTAGGATTTCCCAAACATCCACTTCCTCTTTGGGCCCCTGTTGTTTCTTCTCCCTGATTATATGAATTAAATTACATTTAATAAAACAGTTCAAGACAAACGATGCCTCTCTGAAAAAGTAAATTACTTTACCTTTTCTTGAGCAGTGCACTGAAGTCAAGATCACCAGCATCCTCATCTGCATCTCCACTGGAGTTAAAATAAGAATGATTTGGGAGATCATCATGGTATTTTTATAGGGTGAATAAAGCTGCATTGATAATTTACATCCAGTAACAAATTCCATTTGATTCCATATGCCTATTAATAGGCACATAAATTACAAAACACAATTATAACCCCAACAAAAACTACATGAGCAGCTACAACAGCACACAATTGTCTTCTAAAGAATTAGTGCCTATAGTTAATGCTTACCCTTTTTTCATCCTGTGTTCAGATAGACGCAAAAATAGCATGTGTGAGAACACAGAGCACAGCATTTGATGTGGACAACAAGTTACCATCATACCCTAAATTAAAGTGACAGAGATCAAAACAGACAAGCAACACATAAGCAACAGACATGACATAAATAAGCCAGAAGGAACATGTTTAAACAGAAGCTTAACAGACATTTAAAGCAAGCACTTCTTCATTAAAGCATCTGAATAGTAAAATAACATTTCGTTGTGATTATCTATATTAAGCATTGTGTATAAAAATACTCAGATATACTGTTGCTACCCTGTTGTTTTGGCTGCTGTGGTCCAAATCTAAAGATCTCATTGACTCTTAGATGAAAACTTCTTTATGAGTGAAACGCAATCTGACTCTGCAATTTTTTGAAGATGGCTGTAGTGTTGTTAGCACATATGTCGCCAAAGGCGATGCTATATGTGTATCAGTGAATAGGAAGTGCACCCTTGAGATTAAAGGGAAAAAATGACAGTTACATGCTGAATAACAAGAGGAGAACTTCACAGCGGGAAATACAGTCGAGTTTCACTGCATAAGCCATTCATTTCTCCTCACATGCACGTTTGCAACTGATGGGGCAAAATTCACATCATCAGTCATCGTCTCGTACTCAACATCGTGACAACTACTATATGTGGCACACGCCAATAAAGGTCTACAGGCTCGAGTGATTGTTGTTTTCCACTGTGAACAGGCTTGGCAGCTCCTTTACAGTATAGAATGTATTTTCCTGGCATGGTTGAGGCTCATTGAACCCCTCGGAGAGCAGGATAAATGTCAATAAATTCAAAGCCATTCTGAGTGATCATGTTTGTTCTATGGTAGAACGGTTCACCCAAGGATAACATTCATCCATGTTATCCTTGCCATGCAGATGGAAGTAAATATTCCCAGGATGACAATGCTCTCGTGCACATGGTACACTTCATCAAATGGTTGAGGGTATTGACTGCAACCTTTCCTGACTCCAGTAGCTGTCTACACAATGGCTCCCACATGATTGCCACTTTGTGTTTTCTTTATTTTGGCATTTATCTGTGCATAAGACTGTTAAAGTTGAAATCCTGTATGTTTCTTACAGGCCTGGCCAACATACTCAGCATGCTTTTTCAAAAACACAGCTCCAAACACTGTGTGAGAAATGAACAGATGAGTGCCAAAGAATGGTATGTAGTCCACAGAATGTTCTCTATTTCCCTTTGAAGCCTTTTCAGCCACAACCAGTCAGTGAAACAACAACATGAAGAGGAGAAAATAGCCTAATATGCCCCAGGCATGAGATGGAGAGCTAGGGCTATTTCAGACATGAGACATATACATTAAAGGTTGGATTAGAAAAACTTCAGAGAAATAATGAGTGAGTATGCTTTCTTCATAAAGCAGTGGTTCCCAACCTATCTGATCTAGCCCTTTAGATGAACCATCATAATCACGGATCCATGCATTTTGTTTTCTATTTAAATCATGAATTCAACATCAGCCCTTTATCCATTACTTTTAACTTTTTTAATTGATCCTTTTTACCCAATTTCTCCTGCTGTTACTTTTTGCTAATGGTTCTGAACGTATTACCTTTAACTATCCGTCATGTCTTTCAACCATGTATCTGTTACATTTTGCTTTTTTTAAAGATTATCCAGTACTTCTACGTTTCAATCATTTATCCTTTACGTTAGCATTCAACAATTTATGCATGATAGTTTCAGCTACATTTTAACAATGTATCTGTTATTTTTCGTTTCTCGATACTTTTGACCATATATAGATTACATTTATCGGTTTATCTATATCAAGCATTATCCCTTTAAAGGTTCAGTGAGTAGAATTTAGTGACATCTAGTGGTGAAGTTGCATGTTGCACCTGCATACTCCTCATCTCACCCTCCCCTTACCAACATGTTAGAGAACCTGTAGTAACCTTCAGTTGTCATGAAAACTCAAAAGGTTTTAGTTTGTCCAGTATGGACGGCAGTAAAAAATGTGGCGGCCTACACAAAGTGGACGCCCCCCTCCACGTAAATATAAAGTTTTTAAATACAAAGGGCCCATTCAATGGTAAAGAAAACAACAATTCATACAATTTAGATGGAACACACCAGTGAAAACATCACTAGGATTATTTTATATTCAATTTCTTACACACTGAACCTTAAGGTGTCTTTCAAATATTGATCATTTCATTTTAGCTATCAATGCTGCCTATTTCAACCTGTCATCCTATGCTTGTATAAATTCATCTGTTACCGTTAATGATATATTTCAACCTTTTATTATCAGCTAAACATTAAGATTTAATTCGCTTACTTGTTACATTCCTCTAAACTGCAACATGTAGTGTTTCACCCAATTCAAGTACATCTTTTAGATAAATAATTTCAAATTAGTCAAGATCTTTCCTCACACCCCCTGGCAACTACAGACGTACCCTGTAGTGTGCAAGTAGCCCTGGTTAGGAATCACTGTCATAAAGAATGGTGTCAGACCACATGTATTTGGTTGGGCGGCTGTAATACATGTTAAAATGAACACAAAGATGAGCACCAAATTGGAAATAAGATCCTTCATACTTACCTTCTGGAGGCTGAGCTACATGACCTCCACATAAGAGCTGTTTAACACACTCATCAGTTATCTCTCCAGCAACATATTTGAGTTTTAACCAACTTTTCCCTTTTCATTTATCACACCGACCTCACCCCCTCCCTCAGCCCTCTCTCCCTCATACCAGCATTCTGCAAATAAGCACACTGACATCCTGTCCAAAGCACAATGTGATGCTGTCTTGTTGCATGTTGTATTTTTCTCATCTTACCTGCGCCCATATGATCAAGCTCTAATGAGGAAAGGAAATTATATTTTTAAACACAAATTACAAATATGGAGACTCGAGCTGTCAGTGTGAAGGTGTTGGCTGATTTACGATCACACAGCACACGTTCAGTACATAACAGCTAAAATAGAAAAACTAATTAAAAAAGCTACACAGTCACGGGATTCATACATAGATACACTTTTCACAGGGAGGAGCAGAGACAGAAATAGACTGAGTGAAACAGATACATGTAAAAAAAAAAAAAAGTCCCTTCAGAGACTGTCGCCAAGATGTGATGAAATACACAAGACAATAAACCATGAGGGACTCCAGGTGAAGCAAACCAGCAAGGCGGGAGACGCACCCACGCGTGACAGAAAGAGAAAGATGGCAGACAGTCTGACTCGTACAAAGTCAGCTACAACTGAGGGATAGACAAACACATGGGCAGAGAGACTCGTTGAGACTGACAGATGCCCAGAGGCAGCGATCTACAGAGGAGCATGAGGGAGACAGTGTGACGGGTGACATGTTGAGTTTGCCCTCGCTAACACTGACACTCACGATCGCTTAAACGCCTCCAAGATGTTGTCCTGCTGCTCCTCTTGTACAGCTGAAACCACACACAAAGACAAAGGCTGGTGAGAATGTGGCTAGGTTAATTCATTACACAGCAGGCTTGAGCAGCAGAGGAATAATGAACTGATGACCTCGCTAGGCCACTAAATGATAGGACCTAATGTGTATCGCACTCACTGAGTTATTGGCTGACAAAGCCAGTTACATAGTCATGGTGGATATGCTGAATGGAAGATGACAATAATGTGATTAAGTGTCTGTCCCAGGACCTACCCTGCACGGAGATGTCGAATGTGCAGCTGTCGCACTTGTCTTTGGCAGTGACCTCGCAGCGGTAGCCACCTGCGTCTGCATCCTTGGTTTTGATTATGCTCATCTCATAAGTGTAGATCTGACGGAAAGAGAATGGGATGTTATTCCATCAACACCCATAGACACACACTCTCCGACAGTACATGCACAGATATGCGGTACGTGCTCACAGACATGTGCAGTTTTATACAGACAACACAGATTGACTGATAATGTTTTGCTGATTAAGTCATAGAAGTGACTTTGGCCATTATTCGAAGATGTCTAACTCAGCAAGACGGTCAGTGCAGCTTGTTTGATTACATATTCATCATTCCTTCCATTTTATTTTCAACCATTCTTCTCTAAATTCAATGCAAAAACAAGAAAATAGCTTTCTGCATCTTTATGAATGTTCTTTTTCATGATTTAGCAAATGTTTAAATGTTAGTGTTAATAAATACAAATTGTGCATAAGAAGGGTGTCTGTGTCACAGAATGTAAGGACACGAGATGTAAAATGAATGTGAAGAGTTAAGTCATCGTGTGTACTCCCTCACACATTCAAACAAAACAAAATGCTTGGAGGGAGAATATCTTTTGGTTTAGTTTAATGAAGTGTACATGTTAAGCCGCTCTTGTGGTAGACAGGAAAATGAATAATAAAATCCTACTGTTTTTGTATTTTTTTGTATGAGGTTCTATATACAAATATCGACTAAAATAATAACAAAAACTAGATGGTTCTTCAGGCCATAGTAAGATCAATTATTTTGTTTGTGAGATTCATTAGTTGTACAGTTGTTCAATTACAGTATATTAGCTGTCTGGGAAAGTCCTTTGTTTATCGATTCCCATTTTCTCCTCTCATTTTGATTAAATTCTGCACAAGCATACATGAATGCAATGTTAAAATATCCTTTTTGATATCCTTGTCGAGCCAAAAATGTTCTGCTTCAGTTAAAAAAATCCCAAACGAAAAGATGAATAGTCTACAGCCATACTTGCAGCTCTATGAGGCCGCAGCACAGAGGCTCATAATTCTTACACCAGCATGCTAACTGGGCAAACCTTCAGGTTTCATAATTATTTATCAAACTCTTAAAGCCATTTCACTTAGGATGTGAAAATCCTTGACCTATTGGATACGTTAGAGAAAAGGTCAGTAAGATTGATCCTGTTGAGCCTGAGTTAAGAATTTGTTTCTGTTTTTGTATATTTGCAGTTATTTCCTGTTTTAGTTTGTTACTTTTCGTGTTTCATTTCAGTGTACTTCACTTCCTGTCTCCTGCCTACCTGCCTCCATTAGTTTCACCTGTATCTAGTTTACTTTGTGTATTTAGTCTCTGTGTTTATCTTTGTTGGCCTCGTCAGTTCTCTGTCAGCGTTCCAGCAGTTTCCCTGCGTTATCCCGAGTAATTTTATGACCAAGAGTTGTTTTTTGACCTTGCCTTTTTACCCCTTTTGTTTTGGATACCTCTGCCTGTCTTGACTGACTCTCTGTGTACCAAATGTGTTTATACAGTTTTTCCGATTTCCCTAGAAGTGAAGTTTGCATCGGGGTCCTCACCTTGCTTTAGGGTGACATCCTTTAAGGGAAATGTCTTTACAAAATGTCAACACAATTTATTAAAAAAAAAAAATTCTTGCTGGACCAGTGACAAAGTGTATCAGTCTACAAAGAAGGACAAGATGTCTCCACTTCCTCCTACTGTAAAAAAAAATTAAGCCAAAATATCGCAGATACAGGTGCTGCCATCTTTAGCTGTTTTCATCATTAAACCAAACAGCTAAACATCAGTGTGATACGAACTACCTGAAAATATATTTTTTTTGCTAACATGCAGGAGGCAGGTTTTATGACCTCATCTGCAGTAAGCCAGCAGGAGGATATCAAGATACTTTTACTTCTCCTCTGTATGTGAACTTTCCATCTTTCAGTGCAATCTATTGTCTGGACCCAGAGGTGGACCAACTGATCAGCCAACACATTTGCCATCCACAAAGCCACACAACTTGCATGGCTAAACATCTAGTGCAGCAATGAATGCACAGACACACAGTATGAACATGCCCACCTTGGTGTTCCTGTCATAGGTCTCTTTAAACTGCAGGTGCTTTCCAGCTTTGCTACCAAGGTCGAGCCACTTCCCCTTCAGCCATTTCATGTTCGGCTTCCTTATTAAGTTTGTGGAGTCCACTTTTGCCACAAACGTGATGTCCTTGCCTGCCAAGAACAGTAATGAAATGCAGCGATTAATTAAAATTGATTAACTGTCTGAATACTAGCTAGAATTTGGCCTGAAGTGGGCCACTCCCTTCATTTGGGATATAATTCAGGATTTCTTTTTTTACAGCAGATCACCTTTTGTTACCGTGACGCTCTCCGGCTTCAACACAAACAGGCCAGTCAGCTCGGCCATCTGAGGATCCTCCCCCGGTACAAGCTCTGTAACGTGTGTTATATGGAGGGATTACAGGGGACAAATCAAAGCAAGAAAACACAATCTGGTTCAACACTCAGATAAAGACACAACAGACAGATTGAAGAAGACAACAGAAGACAAGGCGATCAAGCAAACCACCAAATCAGCAGTCTTCTTAACCCTGATTTAAAATAGACACTGGCTGATTGTTAAATAAGATCTCTTATATGACTAAATTCTACCTTCTGAGCACAGGGTTCTATTCACTTTGTGTAGTTATTTAACACTGAAACTGAGCAACAGTCTTTCCGCGAGTCACAACCATACAGCGTGTCTGTGTAATGCCTTTGTTGTTTCATTGTATAAACCATTTGGGACCATCTGAGGTATTATAGGCAACTAAGGAGGCCGCTGGAACAGACTTGCCCCAGGGAATAAAGAAACTCCTCAGATCACCTCTGAAGACATCACATTAGAGTTGACTCTGCAATCTGCTGCCACCCTGACAGAATATACGTTGAAGCTGTACACTGTTATCTTGACGATAAAAAAATGAGCAGCTCTTTTATCCGTTCACTTGTTTCTTTTGTAAATGAATTGATGCTCTGCAAGGTGTTTGCTTGTCAGTTGAGATGCTTTACAGAAAAACGCTAACGTATCAATTTCTCTTACCATCAGGAGGCAACTCTGCATCGCAGTGGAAAAACAGAAAGACAGAGAGAGCGGGGGAACATGTCAGTCTGTACAATAACTGTGCTGTGAAACATTAATTGGCCCAATGATGATCTTGACTTCAGGTGAGGAACACTCACACATTCAATTAACGTGCTCTCACACTCCAAAAAACACTGACTTCAATTAACAAATCCTGTTTTTTCCTTTTACAAAAAAGAAATCACACAACTGTTAATTGGTAACAACTTCAAAAATTGTGTTCAGACCAGTTTGATACTAACATGAATTTTTACCTCCGCCAAGGAGATTATGAGCTTGCAGGATTAAGCAAAAATATAGAACGGACTACCACAAACATTTTCGTTGATTCCTTAGAAAATAATGAATGCATCTTGATGAAAAAAATCTGGCATATTCAAGGGAATTGATATTGATGTGTATGAAATTTGTTGTGAATAAAATAAAAATCCAGATCAAGTGAATTTAAATGTGGTTTCATAAGGGGACTGTTGGGCCGTGGCGGAGGTATGCATTCTTTGAGGCTCATTCTGTTTCTTTTATTTCTTTCACAGTTTAAATCAGACAAAGTTACATTTCTTAAGAAAGTCTTTTATACACGAGCAATAGGTAAAAATAAAGCCACATTGAACCACCAATCAATTAGAGTCAGTAGCGCCCCGGGTGGACATCCATTGGACACGCACAGTTTCTTAGAGAATGGATCCAGGGTCACATGTCGAATAAGGTCATGCACCTCCATAAATTCAGAGAGCCACACTGTCTGCGCCTCTTCCTCTCTCTCTCTGCTTTTATGGGCTCAGTTAATTTGATCTTTTAATCAAAAGTGCCCCTGAGGACAGATCCAAGTTCAGATGTTCAGGATGATTTAAAAGGTTTCAGTTAGAATGCTAAGTGGGTGAAGCTGATCCTGGAATGGTATCCAGGGGACACTTTTGAATGTTTACACTCTTATTTATTTATGTCACATTGGACACTGGCTGTGTTTGGGATGAGGGTTGCTAAGTGAATTTAACTTCGCTGTCCTTGGCTCTGGGAACGTTTGGATTTTTTGGACAAGCCCCCCCCCCCC